ACTGGAGTAATGACTGATGGAAATTCAGCTTTGCATCAAAGGAATAAATTATATTTTAAAGGATATTAAAATAGAAACCATTATTTTATATTGTAATAACATTTTGCAAGATTACGTTTTGTTTTGTTTTTTTTATCAAATAAATGCAGCCTTGATGAGCATAAGAGACTTCTTTAAAAAAACATTACAAGTCTTACTGATCCCAAACCTTTGACCGGTAGTGTAGTTCGTTCAATGCCTACAAACAGCTTTTTACTTCTAGTGATTGTACTGTATTTAGGCCTCAAAATTCACAAAAGTTTTGTTCATTTGTAAAGATTATCATGATGAACAAGAATGATTTTTGTTGGTCAGAGTTTATTTTTTGCAATAATCCAAGATTTTTGTTGGTCACAGTTTATTTTTTGCAATAAAACAAAAGCCACCTAAAAAAAATCCAAATGGCTTTCTGCAGAGGGAACCAGTGTGATGTTCATTTCAGGGTTGGCTTACAAAAGTATGTCATCTCTGCAATGCTTTATTGTTTTAAGCCCGTTTAAATATGGCTCCACTACTGTATGCCTCCACTAAATGCAGAATGGTCAACAAATAGTTAAAAAGGCAAGCAAAGTTGTCATGTAGCTGTAGTCCTCATGTATCAACTTGCTAGCAGTTAACATTTTCAAAATTAACTTTTGAGGGCTGACTGAATGTAATTTATGTTGAAGAACAAACTTTAAAAGTCTTGAAGTAATGTTTACAACAGACTTTATTTTACACAAATCTAAACTTTAAATTGCTATTCTAAAAAAACATTTGAAATTTCTGAAGGAAACTTATGGCAAATTATTAGCCATTAGCAATGACTGCTCTATAGGGCCACATACATGCCAATCCTGTTGCAGAGAGTGCACAGACTCTTGGGAGCCGTAAGGTCCTCTCCACAGGCTCAGCTTAGACTTCAGACGTCCCAGCAGGTCATAAACATGGTGCATCTGCTCTCTGTATTGTAGCTTGATGCCGTGGTACTTGGCTGTCACTCTGGCACTGGTAAAACTATCAAAGAGAATGAGGAACATTAGCAAGAAACCTGGGTATCATGAAGAGGACAACATTAAGAGAAACTGAGGGATGGTGCTGCTGAAAAGACCATCTTATGGCGCTTTTCCACTGCGTGGTACTTGCTTTTCCACTGCAGTTTAGTACCGCTTCAAAGTGGGTGGGATTATAGACTGATTGTTATAGTTGCCACCTTGTCTACTGACCACGATACAGCCATTTCTTTTTTCAAGTTGCATGTGACGGTAATTTAAAGCAAGTCGTTTAAAAAAGTTGTGTGAATAAATGATACTGCGGTGGCTGTTGCTGACTATTTAAATCTAGCGTGTTTGGTGTCTCGTGTCGCAAATCCAATGACGCTGGTAATGGCAATTCTCTCTGACCAATCAATGATCTGCAGTGTTTACACGTCACATTTTAGTATTGGTACGGCTCGCTTGGAACCTCAACCGAGGTGGTACTAATAAAGTACCAGGTACTAGGTACTATACACAGTGGAAACCCCCCCAAAAGTGAGCCGTACCGAGCCGTATCATGCAGTGGAATAGCGTTATTAGACCAGCAAACTGTGCTGGTTTGGAGCTGATCAAGCATCCAGTGTTCTAAACACTACAGACGCTGGTCATTTCAGCAGGAAGCACTGAACAGATTTTGTTTTCCAACCGTCTCTTGATCTCCTCCAGCTTCTCGATTGGCACTTGAAGACAGCCATCATCATCTGTGTTACGGTAGTGATGAAGGGTGTTCAAGTGCTGGCTTAAGTCCTCAACCAAGACCTGAGAAAGCAAAAAGAATAAACATAGACATACACATAATTCAGAAATACACAGTGAAGCATGATAATACCTGTTTACACACTGACCTTCAGCTGTTCTTGCTTCTGTCTGGCATCTCTGGCAGCAAGTGCATTATCTTCTGTGCTCCCGCTGTCTTCAGACAGCACAGCTTCCATATGCTGGAGCCACCGGCCCAGTGTGTTCAGAGGGGCTGGCAAACCAACATCAAGCTCTGTTCTGTACTCTTGCAACTGGTGAGAAGAAAGTGTGCAAAATAATTTAAGATTTTTTTTGCTATTTAATTATTTGTATATTACTTATATTACTGATCCCATCATAAAAAAAGATAAAAAGTATTTCTTTAAGAATAAATATGAAATATATAAGAATATTATATTTATTTTTAATTAAATGTTACAGAATTTTAAATAATTGAATATTTATTTGAATTCAACTTATTATTTGCATTTGTGACCCTGGACCACAAAACCAGTCATAAGGGTCAAT